GGAGCTGCCGGCGGCGGGCGCCAGTGCAGGTTCGCCTGCGCTCGCCGTGCCTGCAGCGTCCCGCGGAGGAGGAGCGACAGCGGGCGTCGAGCGAGAGGGGAGCAAGGTGCCATCGCCAAGAGTTATTTCTCTCTCCCGCTCGAGGATGGTGATTCGTGCCCTAAGGTGCCCGGCGGCTGCTGGGCTTTGCTTTCTGGGAGAGATAAAACTCAGACGGACGCTCGGCAGGTGCCGCGACCCCCGGTGCCCTCAGCGCGGCTGGTCGGTGCGGGCCGGGCCCTCCCCTGCCACCGCTCCGGGCTGGCCTATGCATCTCCCTCGCGAAATCCCTCTATAGTAATTCCCTTTGGGCGAGCTGTCCGAGTTGATTTGGATCAGGGCAGTCTCACGGATGAGAGGTTGAATGACGCTGACCCCGGGTGCAGCACGGCTCGTGTATTCTGACAGACGCCGTAATTTGCTGTTAGGTGCCGTGCACCTGGAAGGAAGGTTCAGCAGGCAATTGCAGGGACCGTGGCCCAAGTGGTACCTAAAGATGACCCAGTATGCAAAAATCAATGTGCACATCTGTGTGATCCTTTAAAAAGTACTGGACTTACTTAGAGTTAATGCCCATTCAAAATTATGAAGTATGGGTGTAAAGGTTTTACAGGTTTTAACAGAGGACCCTCATATCATGATGGAATTCCGTTTACAAATAAAAAAGGTTTTCCTTAGGTGATGCTGCCCATCACACAGTGAGTAATGTTAAAACAATAGCAATGCTTCCCCACACTAAAGCATTCTATAATATTTGCTGTATTTTTAATAGAAAGCTGTCAAATGCAAAGATTCTGACTTGAGAATTCATGTTTTCTGAAGATAATTAAAGTACAGTGTAAGCTGAAGTAATACAAGTGGTAGCAAGTTCTTACTTTTTTATTTATGTTTCTTGTTCACTGATCCAAAGTGCCACTCTTGGAACTGTTTAAATCAGCTTTCTCATTAGATAAACAGGCTACTAAAGCTATAGATTAATACAGTTCTATAGACTTTAATAAAATATACTCATTTAAATACATGCTTCTCAGGAAAATTTCTCCTAAATCCCTGTTATGTTTTGCTTTTTGCCTTTCTCCCCCCCCACCCCCATTCATCAGTCTCTTATAGAACCTCCATTCTTCCAGACAGATACAAACATTTGAGCCATATTTAATTGATATGAGAGTCAATGAAAAGGCAGCATATACAGAGAGGACTGTAAAAGTCTTTTTATGCCATGCATCTCAACATTTTGCAAGCTCTCTGTCAAGGATTGTCTTCTGAGTGCCAAGTATATTGTTACCAACAAATAAGTGTTGGTAATCACAGACCAGCAGTCCTTTTGGACTCTGCAATGCCACTCCTTAATCAGCTGCAGAGCTTACTCTATGGCTTTATCTTTGCCCATCAGGATCCTCAGCCTGATGACTGCACAATGGTGGAAAATGCCTCCAAAATTACATTGGAAGACAAGGAATAAATAAAAGAAAACTGGTTCATAACCTACAAAAAAAAAATTAAAAAAACCCCAAAACAGTAACTACCTCATACAAGCTTACCTTGGCTTCAAAACTGAAGTTTAATCACACAGCTGGAATTTTAGGAGATGGTAAGAAGTGTTGCACTGCCCAAAAGCAAGACTTTGGGACTAGTCATACAGAAACAGTGTGAGCAATAACTCTATGCTATGGCTGTGTCTATAAAATGTCTCTAGGCCCCATGGCCTGTCATGTTCACAGATGATGCCCCTTCTCAAGCACATGAATATCACCACAGTTTTAGTTACAGAGGGTTATACTCCGCTCTGTCAGTCAGCAGGCTGTAGGAACCTGTGTATGTCACAGTGATGAAAGGGGGAGCAAGAGCTGCTTGCCTATTGCAGCTCAGATTATATTGTTCTGCAATGGTCTTTCATACACACCTGATAGTGAATATAGAAATTAACGATGTAGAAACGCTTACATTTGACTTCTCCAGACAAATTAATATCCTTTCACCCTCACTGAACCATATTTTTGAAAGCAGTAATGCTGCTCTTCGTATTTGAATGGGATCCTGCAGAGTGAGTGGAGTATTTACAGTATTATCCTGTTACCAGTGCCGGCATGATGCACATGCCACAGGGCTCCGTGCTTTCGGACATCTTACATCAAGGCTGTATTGGTTTTCAGCTGTAGCATATGATAAACACTGTGTATTTTATAATAAACACTCAAATGTTTATGGTACCTAAAAGACTTTACTTTCTATATTCAGAACTGAAAATGTCTGAGGACATATCAGATGGTGCCCCATCTGAAGAAAAACCTGAAGTAATGGAAATGCCCAGCAATGAAGTATTGTCTCACGAATCAGTACCACACCTCATAGAAGCTGAGAACTTGCATGAGTCAACATGGACAGGTCAACAAGATCAACATGGACAGGTCACTCAGCATGTCAGTAATAGAGAGGAAGGAGACACGTTAATTAATGAAAACCCTTTAACTGAAAAACTTGTTGAAAGTCTGCCTTCCAGCCTGCCTTCCAGTGAAGAGACAACTGGAGACATGCCCACTGAGTGCATTGAGACTGTAAGCCTTGATACAGAACCTGAATTGGAAGAAGCACTACATGAGCAAAGCAATCCAGTAAGCAGAACTTTCTTTTCTGTAAAAGCCATCCTCTCCCTGCATTGTAAGAACAGAACTTTGTATAACGTATGTACTGTTTTTCACCAAAACCTAGGGAGTTATGCAGAAAAACTGCATAGGAATAAATTAAATTGCAACATCAAGCTTTTGAAAACTAGGGGTAGTTTAATTTCACTTTGCTGTTATGATATTAATTTGGTCTTTCAAGTTTGGTTGCAATAAAACTTGCATTGTGTAGAGGTGATATGTTATTGGAGACATTCTTGAGACAACAGTTTCTTAACATGTCTTAAATGTGGAATACTAATAATTGCTTTACACTACCCATTACTGTAAAAGGTGTGCAGCACCTCCTCTGGCTGTGTTTTTATTGAACTCAGTTGTTGGGAGTTCCCTGTGCACATCTACTGAATTACACATGTGAGGAGACTTTGGTAGACAAGCCTCCAACTCTGGCTCCTGCATCCAACCCAGGAAGGAGACAGGTTCCTGCCTCTCCCTAATATTAGTACTAATGAACTTGTATGGCATTATAGGATTGGATTCCTGAAGAAATACTGGGGCATCTGTGAAGACATCTCTGGAATTTAAGGCTCTTCCAGGAGTAGATGATGTGAACTATGCTTCTGCTTTTTTGTGTACAAAGTTTGAACTCCACATAATACCCAATCTGTCGTCATCTATTAAACTCTAGACTTTGTTGCCTGATAGGTTCTTTGTGTTTCCTCCTGCCATTTGAGAAAAAGATTTTTGGACAGTAGAGTAACATTTTTGTTCTTACAGGCTGCAGACTCCTCATCTAAAGCAAGTAGATGGGGAGCTTGGGGTACCTGGGGAAAGTCTCTCCTGTCCTCAGCTTCTGCCACAGTGGGTAAGTGTTCTGTTGGTAAAGTGTGTGGAAATAATAATTTTCATGTGTCATTAGGCAGATTAGTATTGCATCTTAAGGATTCATAGACAATTTTGCCTTGATAAACTTGGGAAGCGTGATGTTTTTAAAGAGGAAGATGGACCTTCCTAATTATTCAAATTATGGACAAGGTTCTAGGCTTGTTTGTAAAGTTAATGAATTACTTGATTGTGACTTCTTCATAGAAAGGATCCATAATTCAATACAATTTCTATCTGCCAAAGGCTTATGGTTTCTCAAGTCAAAGCAGCCCAGATTCATGTTCATGTGTGTTAATGGTATGTATGCCAGGTTTGACTTCTGCCTACACAACATGAATTCACTTCTAGTAAATCATTCCAGCTTTCATTGCCACCCAGTGAAACTGTCACGCTGTCACACTAGATTTCAGACAGTAGAACAACGTATTGATACATGGGCCCTCTCCCTATACTCTCATTTCCCACAGTAGATCAGTACAAAATGTCGTGAAGACTTTCGGTAAAACTTAATTATTGCTCTTTGAAAACTCACAGACAAAAAGCGAAGCATAGAAATATGTAGTTACCAGTGGGAAATAATTTCTCACAAACCAGAAATATTTTGTAACAAAAAAATTTGTTAGGTAGTCAGTTCTCATAAAGGATCTACAGAACACCTTTAAAAGATGAACCTAGGAATTAAAATTAATTGCTAGTTACTAAAAATGAGTTCAATAGAGATACTGTTTTTATGATCCCACATAAGGCCAAATATTCTCCTTCTTTTCTCTTTCATGGACAGTAAATGGTTTCTGTCTGCTTCTCAGAGGAAGGAAGTTTCCTTGTTTTTTTAGTAACATCCACAGTCAGGAGTACATAACTACATTTTCTTTCATACAGTCCAACAATTGACATTTCTAGTTACATTTGGAATGGGTTTCTAGGGTGTGTGGTACAAGTTTGTTGTGTACACAGTCTGACTTGATAAGGTCGTGTGATGTCTATTGTAAATAGGCATGTCATCACCATAAATATACATTTTTAGGACTGTTATTCTCTAAAAATGAGCATTTTTGTTCCAGTTGGAACAAGTCGCCTTGGAAAAAGAGCATCCACATGCAGAAAAGGAAAAGGAGAATTTTAGAATAATTTTAATTCAAGATCAGAATGGTTGCACTGTTTCCCACTCAAGACCCATCTACCATTTAGTTTCTGGCAGTAACCAAGAAGAACTAGGAAAGCACCTAAAACTACATGTATATAAAGCAGCAGTTCCCCCTGTTTTCCTGTCTCCTGGAATCTGCAGCATAGACAGACTTCCTGACCCTGGTATCAGGGTAGGTTGAGTTTCCATGTTACCCTCTAATAATTTTGAATCTAACTTTGTGAATGTGTTAAACAAAATAGACTTTGAATTAAGCAGAAATCAAATGTATGTTCTTCCATGTTTTGTGAACCCAAGGTAACTTGGAAGACCACATAGCTAGTCTTAGATTTGTTCCAGGAAATCAATGCATCAAGTAATATTTTACAGTCCTGATACAGAGGGCTTATTTCCTAGTTGTTTATTAAGAAAACTCGTGCTTGATCCTGTGAAATATTTACTGTCTCTCACTCTCATGGACAGATACTGTGTAGACATACCTCCTTCAGTATGATAATTCTCTGGTGAGATAGTGGAAAAAAATTAAAGCTATTGGGAATTTCTATAAGCTTTATTATTATATATTTATTTTTCCCCTTCAAGTTACTCCATTTAATATTGGATCAGTTCAACCAACACTTCATCTCCTATTCCACACCAGAAAATAATTTTGCTATGGACCAGTCCATTGTAAATGGACTGTAAATGCTATTCCTTCAGTGTAGCAAATTCTGTAAGTAAAATGCCTTCTTGGAGTTAAGACTTAGCAGCAACACCTTCAGTCTGTGATCTTTCTGTTGTTCTGTCATCATATTGCACAACACAGCTGCTTGTCTGGTGAAATATGACCAATATTTACGATTCTTCATATTTTTCTTCAAAATCTTACTTTGTAAAAATAGCAGAAACAGTTTGAGGTGGACTAAATAATATCTTAAAAGCTTAAACAAATATATTCTGCTTTTAACAAAGAGTATCATAGACCAGTGAGGGTTGGATGGTACCTTGAAAAGTAATCTAGTCGAGGGTTTTGTGGAAAAGGCTTTATGCATCTAGATGAGATTGTCTAGCATGTTGTCCAGTCACATCTTGAAAACCTTCAGCAATGGAGACTTTAACATATCCCTGGGTAGGTTTTTTCAGTGAATAATTCTTCTTCCTGTAATTAATTTTTCTTGCATCCTTACCTGTTTAAGACTGAATTAAAATGTTGTTCCAATTATCTCAGTTTCATTATCCTTCAAACACTGATAAAGAATTCACAAACACATGAGCATTTTTAATGCATGGCAATAATTTGTTTAGAACAGGTGGTTTATTCCCCAATAATAACACAGTACATATAATTTGTCCATATAATTTGTCTCTCATATATATTGTTCCATATAATTTGTCTCTCATCCTCCTTTAAGTAACTCTGCACATGCAGCCAGGGATTGTTCTGGTGGTAGTTTTTTATTCCAAAGAAAATATATGTTGGCTTTGAACTGACTTTGACATTATTTAGATTGAGGTCCCCATGACAAGGGAGATGTGATACTCCTCTACTCAACAGAATCTGCAATGCCTTTGGATTAGTTTCAGTCACTGCCTGAACCATGTCTGGGGTCTTGACACTAGATGTCACACTAAGCAAACTATTGAATCAGCTTCATCAACAAGGTGAAGAGATTTCTTTTGTTTTTAAAAGGTGTGAGAAAGTTGATTGCTCCTTGTGGAATCACAGTGGAGCAGAACCACTATAATAGTTGCTGGAATGATGAAATGCAAGAAGAAGGCTTATTGTGACATGGAGAATCAGCTTGTACTAATTATTGCCATTTTAGTCTCTTCAATTGTGTTTTTCAGTAAATCAGCCATTACACATTTCAGTCTTTTAACAGTGTTGATAAAGCTATCCTGCTTGAGAGGGTGACTATTGCAGCTGATTCGATTAATGGGTAGTAGTCACTGAAATGTGTAGTCCCTCATCTATCTTTTCCTTTCATGTTTCTTCCTTCTCCCTGTACCAGCACTCATGTTCTTCTGAGTTCCCTCTAATCCAGTTCAGGAAGCTAAATTGACATAAGAATAACTCTAGAGGAAAGAAAAATGCATTTTCTGCCTCATCAGTTCCTTGAACCTACTCTTTGAGACCAGTTCCAGGGCAAGCAGAGAGACAAGCATGGAATATGGGGAGGAGTAGAACCTCCCATAACTGCACCAAGAAACCATTAGGTTAGCTTAGTTGTAACAGCAAACTCTTTATCCCCAGGGCTTATGTGAGGTAAAATATATTTTCAGTTTGTACTGGCAGCTTGTGACTTGCATTTTGAAAATAGCTTCTATGCTTTAAAGCTTGGCTCTTTGGTTTTTCTTCCAACTAATCTATCTGCTAGCTTAATGAAAGTGACTACCTTCTGCAAGCCTTGCCTTTCATATGCTGTGGTGTTTTCAATGAGGTATGGCATTCATAAGGTGCTGAAGTTATGGTGCTCAATGAGCCACATTTCCAAGGAAAGTCTGTTCTCTGTCATGCTATATACAAATGCTTCACTCTGTGTAAGTTTAAGGCGTTTTACCTTTAGGACTGTGGCTAAGACTAGGCACCTGTCAATACATTCACACGAAGTAATAAAAAAATAATCCAGCAGTTTGATTCACATGATCCCTGAAATTCGTATTATAAGTCTGCGTAATGCATCTTTCTAATGTATTGTTTGTAATTAATGTTCTGCTATCTTGATTATTTTGTTCTTTTATATATTCTCATCTAGTTCCTTAACTATGAGAATAGCACATGAAAATATCAGACACCAATAATTTCCCTTGCTATGCTGAAAAGCACTTTTTGTCACTCAGTATGACAGGACAAAATGTCAGTTGAGATGTCACTGTGTTCATGGGCTTGGATATTATTGTGCATGGGTATGTGCAATAATCTCCATTGCATATCTTAAGTTGACTTTTGTGTGGAACAGAAATGCCAGTGCTGGAGATAATGTGAAACTAAAGTATTCAAATGTTGCAAATGTCTTTTCTCCATAGATATTATTCCCCTGTTGCAAAGTAGAGTAGAATATTAAAAAAGAAGGCTGGGTGTTACGCTTGTACTTTATGTGATGATAAAGAGGATAGTTAATGTCTTCAGACTTTTTTTATTTCATAAATTCAGCTGATTAAGGGAAAACAGCTTTGGGTTGAAATCACATGGTGGACACAACTTGTTTTGTAAATAATACTTCTCAGCTGCTGTAGCAGCAAAGCCCTTTTTTACAGTTAGTTAGTCCTTTCTAAGAATGCTGAATGCAAGTAACAAATGGAAGGAAATGTGGATGCATTTGGGGTTGGCAGTCCCCTTTGCATTCTTTATGTCTTTTAGGATGGGTTCATATCTAGAAGAGACTGAGAACTGATAAAATGGTGTAACAACATTTATGCTTATTGCTATTATTGAAACCTTTTATGCTTGCAATAAGGAGATCTAAATCTAGTCTCATTTACTAGATTAATCTGAGTTATTCCTCATTTGTAGACTAGATACATAGGTATTATAAGAATCTAGCCTGTTTTTTTTTTTTTTTTTGTTTTAACTGCAAGGAAGAGAAATTTTGTAAAGGCTTGAAGAGAATGGAATGCCAGTGGGATAGCCTAAAAGGGAGCACAATGAGGTCCCACTTTTTAGTGTACAAATCCAGAGTACAGCTGGATTTTCAACATCCCAATACTTCATGTATTGGTGTGATTCTCTTCCAGCCAGTTTCAGGTTCCTCAGTTCCTCATCTGGTGAAAGATGCTCATTTAAGGCCTTGGTCTTCATCTTTAGCTTGAGCTAGATGAGACTTCACTCATGTTACTAGACTAAATTTTTATCAGTTCTTCATTAGATGTGCTCCCATGGTAGGACACAGGTTACAAAGGCAGTGTGGTAGCAAGGGACAAACTCCTCCCTACCTGTACCACTGAATCAGAGAGTCCAATTGCCTGTGAGTACTAGATGGACAAGGGATCAGTGATTCCTATTCAGAGTGGTTTAGGTTTCAGACATAGTGAACTGCCCTCCAGAGGTGTCTGCCTCTCTCAGCTCTGCTGGGAATCCGAAGCTACTAAGCTGGGAGGTGGAAGATAAGACAGCTTGCAGTGAAGTGGAATGTATCCGACTACAACATTTGTGAGTGCTGTAATCTGGCCTTGGGCAGATCTGGCAAACCAAAAGGCAGGTCATATTGTTAGACAGTGTTAGCAAAACCTCTCTTTTCAAATGAGAGATCCCAGCTAGGAACATGAACAATGATATTCTGTGGAAATTTCCAGCCAATAGAAAGGCAAGAAATCATGGAGGCAAGAGAAACAAAAGCAACACAGGGAAAAAAGCGTGCTTTCTTCCAAAAGCTCACAGTTAACAATGCCCATTGCATAGCTCTTCTGTCTGCTGTTACAGAAGAGTAAATGGAGATGTCAGAGGTCTCAGCTCAGTTGCATTAGCACAACCAGCGTAACAAAATGAGTGCATCTTTGAATTGTAGGCTTCTCTCCCATGACCTCTTTTATTTCTGTGCCGTTTGAAATTACAAATAATCATTTTCATTTCCAAGGCAACATGTATTTCTGCTCTGTTTGTGCATGTATGTGTATCTAATGGTTGCTTCAATTGTGGTCTTCTGATCTCATCTGGTTTTGCTGCTTCAGTCAAACATACATGCCATATAGCTTAGCTCAGCAAAGCCACCCCTAGCTGACCTGGAGTATTTATTTATTATTCTAGTGCATGTAACCACAGCCCCGAAAATGCTGCCTTTTGTAGGTCAGTAAATATCAATACAGCAACTGTGTGCTTTCTTTTCATCAATGTGTTAACTTGTCTGCAAAACTACGGGAACCAGTTCAAGGCTATAAAAAAAAAAATCACAGGAAAAAAAGTGGGAAATTGATCGGAAAATGCATGACTTTTGCAGACAATTCAAATTTTTTTCTCAAAATTTATAGGATTTTTTAATATGACTACAGGACCATAGTATTTTGTTACCAAGTCAAGCTGATTAAGTCAATGAAACAAATAAAACTCTTGCTCATTTAAAAAGTTGTGAGCAGAAGCAATGGAAAGGACTGTGACATGCAGTATCTATTATATTAGTGTAAAAGCACAATTAATAGTGATTTGATTCCCAGGAATTTGGGAATTAAACAAATGACTCCAGAATCCATCTGTGCTAATATTTTCATTGAGCTCATTAAAATATGTGGGAGATTGGGATTAGACCATGCAGTACACTGCTCTCCAGTATCTGCATTGGAATAGACTTTGCAAAAGTCAAGAAATTATCCAGCAATGACTTAAACATTGTGGTGCATAACCTGATATGACCCCCACAGTTGAACACACTGCCGTTTTTTGAAAGACACAGATAAAATAGATTAAGGTCATATTTTCTTTAGACAGATAAAAGCATTTTTCTGTCTAGGCTGTTACAGTATAAAAGATTAGGACCTTGTGCTGCCTCTGAAATTCCTCGTCTCTGCAGGTCTGTTCCTTAGGGGATATCTGTTCTTTGTGTTTACCTCCAGATAGTCCACTGTTCTTGTATGTGATCCTTCAGAGGTGCTGCCTCATGTCTAGAGTATATTAATTACTGAAGTCACAGACCGCCTGATGTGTATTTCATCTGGAAATCACAGGATCATAAATCTAAGTGTTCCTTTTTTTCTACTCTATTTCAAATAGATTTACTGCCTCTTTCTTGAATCAGATGTTCAAAAGCATATTTGTATCACTACACGCACAGATATAGATGTATATGTTTATTCAGAGTGCTGCAGAACACTGGCAAGTGATAGGTTATTTTGCTGTGAACTCTAATAGAATGCACACAGTTGTGGGAAAATATGGACACCACATAATGAATCATTATGCATAACTTTGTGCCTTAGATGTCTAGATATCTGCCTGCCTATCTGTATTAATGCCTTTTATGAAATAATTTATCTATTTACAGTTCAGTTTAACCAAAGTATGAAATTGTCATTAACATTTCTTATAAGTCGTTAGGCAGATAGTCAAAGCATTCTGGATTGTCCCGATGCTAAAAGTGATTGGTTTCGTGCAAGATGCACTAACAGTGTACAGTAAAAGATAAAAATAAAATCCTGTCGCTGAAACTATTTCATTTTGTGTTGGAAAGAAATATTCCTTACATGGTTTGTTGTTTACTTGTTGCACCTCAGCTGATACACTGAAACTTCCAGCTAAGGAAGATTAACAGCTGGATTGCTTGTAATGAGAGAAGTATATAATGGGTATACTTAAATGTGTAAATATATATATATTTACACATTTTTATATATATATGTATAAAATATATATATTGTGCACATAGCCAGAAGCAAAATAGGCAGACAATTTTAGAGTAGTCTTTCTTAAGGGCAGCACTTTTCAACTACAGTTGGTGCAGATTAGTAAGATAGTGCCTCCCTTGACTGACTACCAGTCAGTCTACCCTATCCTATAGGGGGATATTACCAGTCTCTGTGATCTACTGGTGTAAATAAACTCTGTATAGAAAACCAACAAGGCAAAAATATTCTATCAAAAATACTCAGATGAAAAAGATAGCAACATTTATACTTCTTTTTAAAAGTATATAATTTTAATAGAGGGCTAGGGAGTTACTGCATATGAACCATGTAAAGGTGGTAACATCTCTGTAGGTGATAACCTGCCACTGGAGCAATAGTTTTGCCTGTGTCAAGTGATATCAGCAGACTTTACAAAGTGTATTTAAATAGTAGCTTTGGGGAGAGACACTTCAGAATTTTACTTCAAATGAGAAGCTAAGGAGCTTAAATCCTGAAATAACTTTGAGGACTGGAGTCAGTATTCCTAAAAACATAGCGCCTATGCAGAGGACTGAAGAAGGAATTCCTTGCTTCAGTCTTGCAGTCATACACAACCATTAACTTTGGGTTAATTGTTCTAGAATTCTGAAAACTACATGAGGTCCTACCCTATGGCCTTAAGAGGACTGTGAGTTTCTGTTTAAACTGATTGCAATACAATATTTAGCATTTTGAAAATCAGGGAACTAAACTTATGTGTACCACTGAAATAATTTTACTTTTCAGATTGAGCATAATTTGTGTTATATTTCAGCTTTTTAATTTATATTCAGTTAATATAAATATAGTAGAAGAAGTGAATTATTAACCTAGAGAAAATTAAGCAATTGAAGTAAGTTTGATAGATATTTTGTCATAATTCATGAAGTATAAGAACACTGTGCACTGCTAGTAAGGAGTTTTCAAATCATATAGTCTAAAATATGCCTTTGCTACAGGTCATGGGATAACAGCAGTAAAGGAAAAAGCAGGAACTACCCTAAGAATTCATAGTGCAAGTTCAGCATCTCTGGAAACAGCAGAGCCTCCTGCAGCTGAAACACCACTTACTCGTAAGTTCAAGTCCACTGAAATTGGACAAAACTCTTTACCCTGCCAAATTAGTTCAGTTTTAAAAATGGTAAGATTTTGGTCGCAGAAACCAGTTCACTGTAATTTGTGACTTGCAGGATTGAAATGCTGCTGTAACCTGCTTATTTTCTTTTGTTAGAAGCAGAAGATTCTCTGGACCAAAACTCTTCTGAAAATATTCCTTCTTCTCCTTCATCTGGATCTCGTGGCATGCTGTCAGCTATCACTAGCGCTGTACAAAACACAGTGAGTCATTTTAGCTGGTCTCTCTGCTCTAGTTATTTTTCATTATATTTATGTTCGACTTCACTGTAGGTCACATTTTTTAAGTTTTAGGTCTTCGTAAAAACAGTTCTTTTTTAAGTCTGTTTGGGAGTCTTTTCCATGATAAAACAACTTTTTTTACACATTTAAGTATGGTGTTTCACTTGAAATTAAAAGAGACTTTAAACATTGGCTGCAAAAGCATAGAAGATTAATTCCCCACTGAGCCAGTTTTATGAAATGGCAGTTCTTTTTTATTGTCTATCCTGTTCACTCTGACTACCTCATCACTCTAGTATCAAAGATTTTGGGAACAGAAGGAGATTCCTATAGATTATTCCTAAGACTGTTTCTACAGAACCTGGAGCATGATGTGGCTTGTAACAGCTGACCACCAGTAAGATTACTTGAGCATTATACAAGATTTACAAATAAGAGAAATGTGCTTGTAGGCAGCTTGGAGAGACTTCATTGATTCATCAGTGATCAATGTGGTACAAAAAGAATCACTTAAGGTCTCAGTAAGTCACCTGTAATGCCATTGGAGACTTTGGTAGGGATTTCTACTATATATCAAGTTGCATCAGCATTTGAGTATCTGACACACACACAATCCAGATTGAAATGGAAATCTTTAGCCAGTGAAACTACTTCTTCAGTTTACAAACAAAATATGAAGACATAGAAAAACATATTTAAATAGACAGTTCCAGAGTCATCACAAGTGTTAAAATTTTAAAAATCAGGTAAGGCAGAGTATTCTGTCCAGGATGGATTTGGCTCCATATTATTCATGTCTAAAACAAGTTCCTACAAACCAGATGTCATTGGATGAAATTAAAGTGGCATTCATAGAATGATAGAGCCACAGAATATTTAGGATTGGAAGGATTCCTATGCCCCTACCTTGGGCATGGACAACTTCCACTAGACCAGGCTGCTCAAAGCCCAATCCAGCCAGGCCTTTAATACTTCAGGGGTGGGGCATTCACCACCTCTCTGGGCAACCTCTTCCAGTGCTTCACCATCCTCATAGTGAAGAATTTCTTCCTGATATCAAATCTTAATCTGCCCTCTTTCAAAGTAAAGCCATTCCCTTTTGTCCGAAAACTTCTTGCCCTTGCAAAACGTCCCTCTCAAGCCTTCCTATAAGGCCCCATTTAGGTACTGGAAGGCTGCTGGAAGGTCTCCTCAGAGCATTCTCTACTCCAGGCTGAACAGCCCCAGTCTTGTCAGATCTTCTCCTGTCTTCACAGGAGATGTGCTCCAGCCCTTTTATGATATATTCTTTTTTTTATTTTTTTATTTTTTACAACAATTGTTACATTTCCTCTGGTGTAAGTAGTTTAATTAACTGGAAATATTTGTATAGGTTTTTGTTTTTTTTCTTTTGGAAAATGTATCCAGAACAAAGTAAATGAATCAATCCTCTTGTTAGATAAAGTATAGAAAATTTAGGGACCTGAATGTTCAAAGATGATGTCTTCAAAAGCACTCCTCTTTACAGTTCATATTAGCCTAAATTAGGAAGAAAATAACCACATTGCATTATTTTATACAGGGGAAAAGTGTGTTATCTGGAGGCTTAGATGCTTTGGAATTTATTGGGAAGACAACCATGAATGTCCTTGCAGAAAGTGATCCTGGATTTAAGAGAACCAAAACACTTATGGCAAGAACAGTCTCACTATCTCAGGTTGGATATATTTAAATACTGCTCTGTCAATGCAATTTCACATTCTTTTTCCAGAATTTCACATGCCTCGGGGAGAGGCTTTATTTATTGCAGTAGATGCTGGCTGGGCTTATGGAAATAAATATTATGCTTTATAGTTTCTCTACTTCATTTTTCTTCACAGAACAACAAAAGATAATGTAAAATCATCTTTTCTGCATAATTACATATGCAATTGCTGATTTAAATAAGGTGTTATATGTGGTGATAAATCATTACACTCTGAAAACAAAATCAAATTGTTGGTGTCTTGGTAACAGCTGTAGATAGATATCTTCCAGCATAAACATTACTATACTGTTTTCCTTGGAAGTCAGTAATGCTAATGTTTCATTAGGAATTAAACAGGTAAAAAGTTGTATCTCAGTGTCCATCTAATTTAATAGTACCCTTACACAGTTGTGACTCACGTGTTTTTAAAGCTCAGAGATACAATAAAAACAAAAGAAGAATGCAAGAAGTATAAATGCTGTCAGTATAAAATTACTTAAATTCTCCAGATGCTGAAAGGAGGGAAAACAATAGACATTGAAAAGAAGCTATGTTTGCTGTATGTTTACTTCCTTGTAGAGAAGAGTAAGGTTTTTCTTTTGAGGTGTTTCATCTGTCATATTCAATGATGTCATATTCATCATTGATAGAGTTAATAGACTTCTACTGTCATAGTAGATCAAAAGCAATTAACCCTTGTTAAGGTCCACAAGGTTAAAATGAGCTTTTGTGAATGTCTCCTTTAACAACATGCATAGTTTTGCACAAAGTCTGAGGCAGAATACAACATAAATCAGTTCTGATGGATCACACTATTGTTTTTCAGTGATTTGTTCATACAACCTTGTGAGTTAACTTTTGAAGATGGAGACTTCAGAGGAAAAATGTACCATTTTAAGTCTTTTGTACTAAATGAATCACTGAAGACAATATTGTAGGAATTTTGAATGATGGGATAACAACTTGGAACTTCAAGTGGTGGGAGTTCACCTGTATTCAGAGACTTGTATGTGACCTAATGTACAGTTCAGATGTATTTGCCATCTTTACTGTAGGAAATTCATGAGAGGCCATTTTGTCCATGAATAGAAGGAAGAAGATCCTATTGGATACACTATTCTATCCTTCTTATACACTGATAGAAGTGTATTAAAAACACACCAAAATATACCCAAGTATATAGAGGGGAGTTCTGCCCCACCTTTGGTCTAAGTCATCAGTCTCTTTTGTCAGTCCCACTATCACATAAAACTGACTTTAGTATTTGCTAAGAATATTTTATAGGAAATATTTATGTAGGTGCATTATTTATGGAAGTTGGTAGATAGGTCCTGAAAATTATACTCTTCCCATTTTGTGGTCTGCAGAATGGATTACATGGCTTTTTAAGGCTGCACATGAAATAGTCCTTTGTCTTTCATTATAACTGGTAGTGAAATTTATTATCTGCTATCTGTAGCTGACATTGCTTTTGAAAAAAATAAGCAAGATTGGTTTTTTTGTTCATTGTATCTTAAAGAGAGATGATTAGCAATTACCATTAGGAAAACCCCGTTTAGAGTACTATATAAATATTTTATCAAAGAAAATTATCAAAAATAATTAGATATTTCATCTCTAGAATTTTAGCTTGGCAGGTGTGATATTGTCCCAGATTTTATTACTACTTCTAGACACACAGAATCAGATAGTAATAAAATCTGTCACACATTACTATCAATAAAACATGGAATGATGTATATTTTTACAGCTGTTGCGAGAAGCCAAAGAAAAAGAGAAACAGAGGCGGGCCCAGCAAGTTACAGTTGAAAGAACAGCACATTATGGACTACTTTTTGATGAATTCCAAGGTTTGTCTCATCTTGAAGCTCTGGAAATCCTATCAAATGAAAGTGAAGCTCAGGTACAGTATACAGACAGCATAAATCAATATGGTTGGTAAAAAAATTAGCTTTACATTAATTTTATTCTGCAGATGCATATAAAGTGAACAGTAAGTTTTCCATCAAGTTCAGAGAAAGCTGAATTGATCCTATGGACTAGTCCTGGATTTTAGGAACTCAATACATCTAAAATGTAACTACAAGATTAACTCAAACTTCATAACTGACAGGTATTTTTGTTAGGACCATATATAGTGTGCCATACACAGCCTGTGACAGAGAATTTGCAATGAGGTTGAAATATTTTGGTTGAAATCAGGTACACTTATATTCAGGAATTCCAGACTTACTATACATGGAGGCTGGTGAATTAAAATTAGTTCCAGATTACTTATTTACTTCTTATTGTGTTAGCTTTTAAAATTACATAGAACTACACTAAGATACTGTTACTGGAAGTATACAAATGTCTCTCTGAAGATGGTAATGTTAATAAGACCTATCTGATAAATATATATTTCAATTTCAACTCTCAATTTATTTGCTCAGCTAGTACATCAGTAGATCTCTGACAGAATTAATAGAATTTTGTAGATTCCTAGCAGTGATATTTCTGTACTGGAACAGCTTCCTAAATAAATTTCTGAAATACAAGTTTTCTTTTTTGTTTGTTATTGTAATTAGCATTCTTTGCCTATACTTAATAAAATATATATATATATATATATATATATATATATACTTCTTAATACAATATAACCAACTTACATTTTAAAATATTTTATTTGCTCTCACAAATAAAAGAAGCTTATATTAATAACAGCTAGGTGCATACTGTCAATGTTGGTTTTATATTTCATAGTTATCTAGATGAAAAACTATATTGTTGAAACCACACATGTAAGGTTCAAGGGAACCTTTGCTTTTGGGAACAAAACCAAAAATGGCCAAAAACTCCTACCCACTAAACAGGAAAGAATCAGATAGAAAAAAAGTTCAGGTTAATTGTGTGTGTCAACAGTATTTTTATTTTGCTGTGAAATACCACAGGGTAAGCAAGACAAGCAGAGGTTATTACCATGAGGTTTCTAGTGCACTTCATTTATGTCCTAGACATGTTCATAGTCCTACTCAGTCCAACAGGACTGATGATAACTGTGTGGGTCAACAAGTCCAATACCCAAATAAATGTTCCACTTGCCACACACAGATGCACACAGACATATAATATTACAGAATTAGTATGCTGTATACAGAAAAGAGTACTGTAATACACAGGAGTACTGTAAACTTGAGACCACTTTTAACAACCCAAAAGCCACAGGAGGAGTGCAAGATGTACTGAAAACTTATATGTTTAAGCTTTTATTTTAAAAGTCTCTGTCAAAAGAAGCTCTCAGTTAGCCCTTGAAATGGACAGTTCTATGGAAAGGGAGGAAAAAAGCCTTATGTAGTGCTTCACAACCTGACTCGGGTGTCACGGCTTTATCTTGTGTTTAACCCTTAGCACAGGAGCTGGACACAAGGAAACACCAGTAAGAAAATAAGAGCTGTCTCCAGCCTGGCACTTAGGTAGTCTGTATATCTGTCAAGCAACCTTTAAAAAAGCCCCTTGAAACAAACATAAAGGTAAAACTTTGTATCAAGGGGAGCAAGGGCGTTTTTCTTGGCTTCCATAAGCAGAAGGAGTGCTCTACTCACAGGGTTAACACCATATAGCTGTAGTACAAACAGTGATTCAAAGAATCTGTTTCCATCCCTCTTGGGTGTGCCATCCTAAGAGATGCAGGGACTTGCAGATAGCTGAGACATGCAAAGACCTGCCAATGCATTTTTCAGAACAGGTAGACTGTCAATAATTTTGGCTGCATTTTGAAGGCAACCTTTTCCAGCTCTTCCCATGAGTGCTCAGACTAATCATTATGCCTGTGCTCTTTTTGCCTGATGTCTTCATCCAGGCAATCCCAAAATGCCTATTACAGTTTGTAGTTAAACCACAGATTTATATAGTTCAAAACTCATATTCTAGAGGAAGGAAGAGACCTGATGATCTGGCAAGGCTGGTGTAATTTTTGTGATACTCAACAAATTCTGTTGACAAGATCTAAAAATATGTCTAAGTTGGGAGGTTAGAGAAAAGATTTGGACATAATGGAAGTTTCCATTTCTTAGTCTATTTTGGATTCAGGCTCTAAATTAATATTTAGTAATACTTACTGTCCTTTCTTTTACAGATTCAGTCACATTTAGCAACACTTGATGGAGAACAGTTGGAGACTGTGAAAAATGATTTAATTGCTATAAAAGAGATCTTTGTTCCAAAGGAATTAGAAAATGAAGTGGTGCAGGTGCAAAAAGGTAATTAAAAATACAGAGATTAAACCATATGAATATTTGCTACTTCTTTATCTAGTAATTAAAAAAAAAATACAGTCCAGACTGTAATTTCTGATATCCTGATAGTCTTCATAAGGTAGTTACTAAAATTAATACTCTGAAAGTTCTGGAAGCTGTTCAGTGCTTAATTTTTAATTTATATTGTAACTCAAGTGCGAGATATGAAAGATCAAACATAAATAAATATAAAATTGTTATACTATATCATCAATGAAATAAAAAATATGGAAAATAATAATTTTCCAGATAACTGAGCTTTTCTTGCAGAAATTGTATAATCTGAAACTTTTGAAGTACTTTGAAATGCTTTTCTTTTTGGCAACTTCATCCTCACTCTGCACCCTCCCTTGCTAGATGGGGGAAAATATTAGAGTATCATAAAGAATTTAAGGAACCCTGAATTTTTTTGAATGAAAGTGACTTTGAAACTTAGTAGCAAAGCTGCTTTATAGGTATTGTTTGGCAAGATGTGGCATGTGGAGTATGAGAATGAAGTTAGAGCAGCATAAGCATTTTCATAGCTCTGATATGGCACAGCATGGAAGAGAATGGGCTGGGCTCACAAAAGTTACAATAAAATGGATGGGTGCTTTGGTTAGGGGCAAAATAGGTGTCTTAAACATAAATGTCAGAAATTATAGCATTCCCCCAAACAGGTTAGAACAGAAGGATAAGAAGTCAGCTTACAAGCAGCATGGTTCATGTCTCCAGGCCTGTGAGATCCATACCAAACCTCTTAGAGCTAACAGCAAAAATCCTCTTGACTTGACTGAAGACTGGCTTATGCCATTGAACACTATATTGTTGTGCTTTGGAAACAAAGAAATGTGAAAGGATATTTCTTCCACATCCTCTTGATCTTCTCAGGGGTACTTTGCCCATAAAAACTACATTTTGCAGGATGGTGAGATACAATTTCCTTAGCCTTCAGAAAAGTTAGCAAAACTGTGTTAACATCCACATGTTCTAACAGGAGAGAAATTTCTTCTCAGACTGCTCTTTCTGGCACTGCTTTACTCAGCTTGCCTGATCCCTCTTACAGGGAACTCATCATGTCTCATTGAGGGGGACAGCAAGTGCTCAGCATAAAGTCTTAGTATGGTAAAGTTTTGTGCTGGTTTTTTCCCCTCTTAGTTGCTCTTTAAACCCCATTCCTCTATGGAGTCATGAGAAATAGAAGTCAATGAAGTGTATTACCTGCTTAGGAGTGAGGATTCATAAGATGTCTGTTGTTCCTTAATTGCTGTGGAAAATAGTTCCTTGCTTTGAAACCAACTCCCAGGAGAAGCTCTGTTTCTTGCACAAAGTGATGTATTCTCTCAAGGTGAGAAGTTCTGGTTTTTGTCAGTAAAACACAACTTCTTATCCTGTTCTTGAAACATTTACAAGTGTTTTGAATGGGCTGCAACCAAGGCAGTGAGCACCTAAAAAAGAAAAGAGACCAAATAAAACTGTGCTGCAGATTTGCCCCTGCAAAAGCTAACCACTCATCAGTGAAGCACATTCCTTCCTCCTATGATTGCGGAAACAATTATGACTGTTTTCTGGTACAAGTGTCAGAAAGCCACACACATACCCTCCTCTCTAATGTTTCCTCTCATTTTGATTATGTAACCTTTCATGTATTTTTCACTGCAGCATCATTTCAGTTGTTTATGAAATAACAAGAGGAGAGTATTGGAAAAAGTGACTACCTACATTTTGAAAGCATTAACACCATATTTTCATATGTGAGGTTAAATAAGACAGTAACCACAGTGAATATTCGATTGAATATCCCGGTTATCAACAATTTTAGTGCATATACATGAACACCCCCACACATTCCTTTCTTGTGTCACTGTCACTGTTTTTCAAGTGCTGGAATACTTGGTGATCATATAAAATGCTATAGCAGTAACACACTAACAAAAATGGTCTTGTTTTTTCTTGCTGCAGATATGGGAGAAGAGTTTGTCAGCATGCTCACAGAACTGCTGTTTGAATTGCATGTTGCTGCTACTCCTGACAAGCTAAATAAGGTTAGCACCTGTTAGTGAGCTGCCTTCAGTTTCTTGGGCAAAGAAGGAGGGCTTTGTTCTGAAATCTGTCACACAGCAGTACCCAGTTCACTTCAGACAGCTCAGAAAGCAAAGTACAGGAGATTGAGACTAAAATGCTGAATATAGAAAAGCTTTCACAGAAGAAGTGAGATGAGTAAGGCAATGCAGTTGGATGAGCCCTTTCCAGTGCTAGAAAGCTTGAACCAGGGGTGTCTCAGCAGAACGGGGCACATGAGCACAGAAGATTTGGTTTTACATACTGGGAACAAAAGTCAGGTTCAGAATAATTTTGTTGCCCTAAAAGTGAGTTGTGTAGGAGTTACTCACATAACTAGTCACATTTGTACTGTTAGGTCCCTTTAAAGCTGGTTCATCTGCTGATGTTAGGCTTGAATGTTTATCTCTCTAGCTACATAGATAGACTATGGGTAACTAGCTTAGACTTAAGTCTCAATGTGTTTTAATTTGACTTCATGTTAAAAAAGAGGCATCATAAATTTCCTACTAAGCGTAGCAGTAGTCTGAAATCGTATAAAGCTTCAAGACTCTTCAGCTTTGATCTATTTGCGTATCAGGGAAAGCAGCTCCAGATACAGTGATTCTGTATTTATTTTTCCTTTAAGAATTTAGTATATATCTCTTAACTCTCTATTTTTTTTTTCTTTTTTATACACACTTTTTATTTTCTTATTTGGGAAACTGTGAGAAAAAAAATCTGTGTAAATTCATTTGAATGATACCTACTAAAGCTGAAATACTGACTTTGGAGTTAACACCAGCTGTATGTGTTGGTTAGGAATATTATATCTTTAGAGGAATTATCCCTGGATGATCCATCTTCATGCAGTCCAAAATGCTTCCCCCTACGGTTTCTTAAATGTACACTTAATTAAATGCCACTCAGAGGCTTGATACATTCAAATTTCTGAGTATAAAATGGAAGTGATTAAATATACTGTTAATTAATGATCAGGAATGTCATCTGATATTCTCTTTTCAAAACTGAATTTTGGGGTTGGGTTCTTTGTTTGGCAGGCTAGGAAAAAAGCTCATGAATGGCTGGAAGAAGCCAGTTTGTCTACCCCAGTAGACATAGAAGAGGAGCTAAATGAAAAACCTGAAGAACCTGGTGAAGAGAAGCCTCAAAAAGACAATAAAATTGAGAGTGATAAAACAGAAGTAGACAAAAGCAAAACTGTGGAGGTAAAATAACTTATGGAGGATAAGTTTCATTAAGTGAATGGACATTGTTTGATAAGATTGTTTCTTTGTGCATTGGCTTTATGTGTCATCCTTAATTTTTAAATTCATGGAAGTAGTAAGAAATAATAATATACAACTATTCACAGTAGACCCAGCTGAAGACTAAAGTACAGTTTAGTAATTTAAGGTAAATATTCTTGCTGTCATTATGTTTCCATAAGTAAATGTAAATGTAACAGATTCTCTAACACATTGTTTTGTTTTATGTCTGTGTTTTTGTGTGTATGCCTGTGTATACTCAACATACAGTGAACTGAGGGATTCTGAGGTGTAATGTCAAACATTACATGCACACTGAAAATTGTATCTCAATGTTTCTTAGTATTTCCTTCTCTCAGTGACAGTACAGGGGAAAAATGTTCAGACTATTTAAGCAGTTTAAATCATAAACAGACAAAACTGAAATATTATTTAGGCAACTACCAACTGTTCATTCTCTTTATGAAAGATAGCTCTTAAGGCTAAAAGTGTTCATTTAGACAGTTCTGATAAAGTTAATTGCAATTGAGTATTTTCTGTCAAGTTAATGGCAATATTAAATGTGGTTGCTATCTTTGTTGAGAGTATTATTTCTAATTTGAAATTATCTGTTTCCTTACAAGAATGTCTAAAAAAGCAGAGAGAATATATACACTGTATATATTACAGATTTTTATGTGATTGCAGATTACCAGCTGGCATCAGCTTGAGAAAGCTGTAACCCCACAGTGCTGTCTAGAGAGTTCTATCATTGTTGATAAAAGCCACTTTTTTATTGGGCACATTATCTATTTCTGCTCTAGAGATTCACCTAAGGGATGACTCAGTACTTTTGGCTCCATATGAAAATAATTATGATTATGACTTATTCTAGAGTTCAGGTATCCTTCTGTTTGTTAGGATGAGGTTTAAAAGTGGTATGTTAGAAAATCCAAGAGTCTGACCTAGTTCCCAGCCAATTAAGCAGTAGACTTGATCTTATGAATTTTTCAGAGCAAGTAGAATGTCTTTTTTTTATAGTCTGTGGATATTTAATTTTATAGTATTGTTTGTGAGGATGATGTTAGGGCTGATACTACTTCACCACGTATGTGTTGGTATTTCCAGTTGTGGTAGGAAGGGTTCCTATGTTTGAAATTTTATTGTATATATATTTATCAGCGTTGTTATTATTGATTACATTATTCCCATTTTTAATTTAAGGAAATCTACATGCTGTCCATTGAAAGTCTGGCTGAGGTAACTGCTCGTTGTATTGAACAGCTTCATAAAGTAGCAGAATTAATTCTACATGGTCAGGAAGTAGAAAAAACAGCTCAAGAGCAAGCAAAAGTACTGACAAAGTGAGTATTATGTACTTCATATATGAACATTTGACATTTGCATAGCACTCATGAAGTTCCATTCAGCTTGAAGACACAGTAAGTTCATGGATCAACAAACAGCATCGGCTTTAGGGGTCCCAATGCTGTATTTTCTCATGAAATCAGGTTCTGTAGGCTACCTGTCATTTTTTGACATGGCTGACATATGTATATTTACAAAAACATGACCTATACACAGGCTAAAGGATGTTTCTGCTCCAGCAAACAAATGTACATGCCAACTTGGGTTACATTTCCTGTTTCCTCTGCAGAAGATACTGTGCCTGCATATATGGAATTTGCTTTTAGAGTGTATAATGCAGTCTTATTATCTGCCAACAGAGTTTCATTATCTAGTGTTTATCTGCCAAAAATGTACAAAAATCAGTCTGTAGTTCTAAACAATAGACCACATTTGTTAGCAGTTTTAGAGTTAACCATAGTGAAACACCCAGAATTTCAAGAAATCAGTCAATATACTGGGACTCTAAATCAAATCTCAAGCTCTCTGTAGTTATTAAGTTTTCATGTTAAGATATTTTAAACAGTTGACTCCTAAGTAAGTAAAATATTTGACCAAGTGCTTATCCTTAAGAATGCTACTAAGAATAGAAAAGTCCATAGGAGCACTTCAGTCTAAAACAAAGCACTTATTAAGTATATTTCAGAATCAGAGCTAAAGCATGGTGCACCTTGGAGAATGAGGTCCTATAGGATACACTTGCAAATGTCTAGGTAAACAATGAAAGATCTCAGAACAGAACTAGGTCCTGTTCTCTGATTTTTTAACCACAAGTGGTCTTTCCCTTTTAGCATTGAGTAGATGTTTTATTGTTCACATAGAAAACTTCTCACTGTTCTCATTCTAGTTTGATTTATTTCCAACAGTATTCCCAGAAGTTGTGTTGCTGCAATCATCAGAAAAGCCATGGTTGAACTAGAAGTTTAGAATTCAAACAAATTAAACATTGCATTGTCAAAAACGATTAGTGTGTGCAACAGTACATAATTTTGCTTCTGTAGTCAGCAGTGGATTTTTCAGTGAAGGAATATAAAAACTTTATCATGAAAAGTTTATGCCTAAATATTTTAAAAATATTTAGAAGCAAAATTGCTGTAAGAACATCTTTGCTTCCAATATAAAGTTTGTCATAGTGTTTTTTATCTATTGATAGGTGAAGGATGTATTTTTACATTTGTTTCTCTTGTTTTTTTAAACCAGTTTAACAAGTGCCATGTGCAATGAAGTTTCATCTTTATCAAAGAAGTTTTCTGATTCTGTAACAGCAGCTGGGGTAAGATGACAGCGTTTTCTGTAGCATTTGGGCTTTTTCAAACATAGTTCACTTCTTGAAACAGAAATTCTTACATGAGTCCAGAGACTTCATATCAGCAGAGGCCACTTCTTTCCTCAAATCAAGAACACAGAACATTTTTACAGCAAGCGAAGTTTATAAGCCTTGATAGATGACACTTTATCCCCTGCCTTGTAAAATCTCTCTTTCTAGAAACCATTTCCTGGTTTTCCTGATCACTACTCAACATTTCTTACCTTCTCACATTGAAGGGCCCTACATTTGAAGTTACACAGCTTGATGATAATTTCTTTTCCAACTCAGCCTATCCTTTTTGAACACATTTGTGTAAAAGTCATTAACAGATTATACTTGCAGTATCTTAAGGTGGTTTCATGAGTTGTCTTCTTAGCCTTTACTAGATCCTCTGGCTTAACACTTTTGAAAACATAGTGTTTTCAAAAGATTTAAGAGATTAGAAAACCTGTTTGGACCATCTTTAAAAAAATCACACTGTCTTCTATCACAAGATATTCTGTTTAAGAGTATCTGTTTATCTATGAGCATCTTTGCTAGAAATAGTATTCTGCCTTTCAATGTGCTTCAAGGATGAGTGACGTCTCAGTATTATAGCATGATTTGGAGGTAAAAATTGTACAGTTGCTGAAATCGTTCTGTAAACATCAGAGAAGAACAAATTCTTGTTCTCCTGATTGTTCCATGAAAACATGAATGTAATTCAAAGGAAATTTTTCCAGTTTCCCATTAGCTCTTCCAGCACATGTCTGAGCATGTTTTTTCATAGTTATTACTAAAGGATGCAATTTATTTCTTTGCTTTTATTATGAATAATTTACATAACTTCCAATTACTGTAAGGAAAAAATGCTTATTTTGCATTTTCGGATTGTACTTTAGAATATACCTGTGGGACACTTGAAACAAATACATGCACAAAATATAAAAATAAATTGCACACAAAATATTAAACTGGCCCACTAAACAGTGCATTCTGTAATGGATTTTCTAGTAACTGAGAGTAAAAATGTACTTCTTTTCTCTAGCTATCTTTCCTTGGTTCTACCATCTTTCTTCAATTAAGAAGTTTCATGTTTCTGTAAATCTGTAATACAAGAGCTACAAGGTTGTAAGTGGAAATCCTACAGTTAAATTAATAAGTATTGTGTTCAGTGTTGAAACAAAACAACTCTTGCTGGAGGTTACTGTTGTAAAGAACCACAATGCAAAGAACAGTAAGAATAAAAAAGGGAAAACTTTTGCCATTTTAAAAAGTAGAGGACCTAATGATTTTCTAGCCTCTAGTTGTGTCACCACTCATTGTATCAATCTTTCTTCCTGTGTGGTGGTCGAGAAAAATGTTGTGCATGCTGAGCTGTTTCACCAAGCAACCTGCACTGCCCAGCACATGCTTTCTCCATTTTGGGGATCTGAGTTTCACCTGGTATTCCTTCTGTAGGGGAGCTACTCTGGACCTTTCATTTTGTCCTAACCATAGATATTTGTGTAACTTCTAAGAACTTTTCTTCTGACATGGCTTTTTCCATTTTGTGTCCTTGAAAATGAGCAAGGGATTAAAAATTTTGTGGGATGTGAAAAGGTCACTGATAGACAGATGGAAAAACAATGCCATTACAGAAACCTCACACCTGTAGGAAAGTAGGCAGTTTGAAACTCTGTGGTGCATAAATTAATGAAGAAGTAAAACCCTGGGCCTCTTTTAGTTCATTGTACTCTGTGATAGGAATGTATAGGTAAGTTTGAAATGCAGACACAGTTACTAGCAGTATTGAGATAAACAGTATGAATAAGAATCAAGATGAAAGAAGACCTTTACAGAACTCATAAAACCACATCTCAGATACCAGTGTATATCTGTTAAATGTATTTCTTGACCTGGCTTTCTGTTTTCTGGTTTACAGAGTAATATGAAGGCAGAGGTTCTTAACCCCATCATCAACAGTGTGTTATTAGAGGTAAGCTCTACTTCTTCACATTAAAAAATGTTCTAATAAAATTATTTGAAATGAGACAGACCTATTTATTTCTAAAGGAAAAACTATTTTAAAATAGTTTAAATAAAATAAATAAATAAATATCATTCTGGCTGTTCAGTGCCAGCACATAAATGTCCCAGTTTTGTGTTCAGCCCCTCCCACAAACACTGTAGTAGTGAGGTTGCATTTACTGAGGATTCTTAAGAGCTGTATTACTGAAGTGAAGCTGGCCAGCTCTGAAACTGCTGCTGTATTGGTCAGAGCACAGCAATAAGTTGCAGTTTCAGACTATTCTTTCCTTTAAAATTTAGATTGTAGGTATGCTACAGTGTTTCCTGTCTGCAGGCATTTAGATTTCTACAAAGATTCACAGTCTAGCAACAGCCTTGGTCAGCACATGGATAATGGTGTGTCAGACCACCAAAATGTTCATGAATGTCTTCTTTTACTTGGAACCATGATCTGTTTTTCTTCAGAAAAGCACAGTGAGTAAACATACCTTGGTTTTACCTTAGAAGAGGTTGAGATGAAGGACTATCCTCATAAGGTCCTGAAATTCATAGGATCTGCAGTACAAATTTTTAACGCTGTTAGATCACTCTACATTTCACACATGTATGAAAACATAAACATATAGTAGTGACCATAAATTGTCATTCTCTATTTAATAGCTGCATTCCCTTAAAAATAAGAACATTGCTTTACAATAAGCAATTTTGCACTGAATTAACAATACTCTTAAGGAAAATTATGAGAAGTTGAATAGAGCTGTAGTGAAAACTACCATGCAGCTGCATTTGTTATAGGGTAAATTTGCTGTTGCTGCTGACTTACCTCTCTGTGCTCCACAAACTGCAAAATCTAGGAATATTTAGAATTGTGCAATACAATGTTTTGTACTTCTTAAGTCCCATAGTTGTATGCAAATGTGTATTAATACAGCCTAGGATCATGGAGAATTACAAGCCACTTTACTGTTCAGTATTAGAAATTCTAAAAATAGTACTACATGTTAAATCCATTATAATTTGAACTGTTAATTTCAGTGACACTTTTTTCCACCTACAGCAAATTCAAAATTAGTTCAATTGATGGAAAGACTATCTGGTTTGTGTTTAAAAAGTCAAATCTGCTTCTGAACACTGTGGTATTTTATTCTACTCATATTACCAACAAAACTGTCCAAGTGTTCAAATTTAGCAGCAGTCAGATTTTTCTATATTTATTCAGGTTATGCTATCTACAGATTCTAAAATCTTGTGTGAAGACATATCATAATATAGCATGATTCCTCAAGTCCATGGCAGCTGTACTGATGAGCCACATGTTTTCTCTCCTCATTAGGGCTGCAACAGTACTACTTATATTCAGGATGCTTTCCAGTTACTGCTTCCAGTTCTGCAAATTTCCCATATTCAGACCTGTTGTTCAAAAGCCCAGGAGTTGCCAGCTTGACAGCAACCACAGACCCAAAGTCCTGAGCTGTGCCAACAGAAGAGCTGGTAAAAGAGATATCTGGCCACTAGAGTTCTTTGAAGACACTAAATGCGGTTTTGCACACACAGTACTGAACAACATTTTAAAACTCTTTCAGACTGTCAGACTTTAGAAGTAGTCAGTAAAGTAATTTCTTTTCTGGTACAGTTCATGCTTTCATTAATTTAAACAGAAGTTTATTTGTATAAGCATTGACTTAAATACAGATTCTAAATGTCGGCCCTTTCATTTGTAAACAATGCATGAAACAAATTGGAATGTAAAGCTTCTTAAAACATTTCACTTCAACTTACCATTTATATTGTTTGTATTATAACTGCAGTTTAAAAAGTATACTTCAGAAGCTGGTTTCAGTATTTACTTTTTGCAAACATGAACAAATCATCATAGTGTTGAGCTTGTTAAATATTATTTCCAGTAGAAAATAATAACATCGTATTATTATGTACCACTAACATAACACTTTGTATTGAAGGAATTGCACAGCAATAGGTATTAACTTTACTAAATGAAAATTAGGTTGTGCATAAAGAATTATACTGATAAGAAATTTTCTGAGCCAGGTAAAATTACGGGTATAGCTCTGTATTTGCTGACCCATAAGTTTATATCAATTTAGGTCTATTTCTTCATTTCAATGGTTACTAAATCATTTCAATGATTACTAAAGTAGTCTTTCTAATACGCAAAGGATAGAAAATTTCCCTTTTGTTTGGCAATCAAAACACCAGCTAAACAACCTTTTCTTAGATGTGTTACCAGGTTAACACTTTGGGGTTTACTGATACCTACAGTTCAGAAATAGAAGTTGTAATAAGAAGCTATGAAAAAATTGCTTTGGGAGTAAAGGTTATCTGTCAGAGCAATCACCTTTTTTCTGAGGCAATAGTAAGGGCATAAACCAGAATAGGAATGACATTTCATAACAACACTAGCAACCATGCTAATTTGTCCATATCTGTAGTTTAAAATCCTGAGCTTTGGACCTAAGAACTTGTTTAGGGTAGTTTTCCTCTTCAGCAGGAAGAACCTTCTAATATTTTACATGGCCTGTTCTCTTGGATTTTTGTCATTTATTATGTTTCTTTCCGTTATTTTGTATTTTTTTTCTCTTGGTATATTCATGAATTGTATTTAAATGCTAATTTTTACAGTTAACATTTTATTAAATTTAAGCATAGTTCATATATCATAAAAATAATGAAACAGAGTGTGAGGCAGTTTCTGTGTTTGATAGAAAAGAGAACCCATGTATCTGTTTTGTACATGGTAACTTCTTTGAGTCCAAATAAGAGGACAGAAAGGTTTTTTTGCATTTTACACTATTGTGGTCCCCGTTCTGCTGTCGCATTCATGGTGACTTTTCCATTTTCTGTTATTTAGAGATGAAATTTTCCCTATCCCTGAAATAAGGTTTATTATGCAAAATCTATTTTCTGGCACCTTTCTGGGTAAGTAGAAGATGTGCAGTCTTCAAATTCATTTGAACAGGCTGAGTATAGTATCAGAAGCCTCAGGGGATAATGTTTGAAATCATCGAGGGACATTCTTAAGACAAAGATTGCTTGTCTGAGATACTCTTTGCTAGAGGTTTCACTGTCTTGCTTAAATTATGCATTTATGAATAAAATACCTTACCCTGAAGTAAAAGAAGCTAAAAAACATGGAGACTAAGTATTTACATTCATAAAACGTAGGAAGGGAAACAGGGCAGGATATAAGCATAGGGATAATCCCATCTGATCTTAGGTTCAATCATCTTGTCCTTGGAAAACAGAATGCTGTATCTTTAAATAAATTTCAGGTAAATAATATTTCAGTAGAGAAGTACTGCATGGATGTAGCAGAATATTTTGTTTACACTGATTTGTACTTTTCCACCAGTCAAAGAAATCATTTGAGATACTGAACTGAGACAGTACACTAAAAGGGTGTGGTTGGAAGAATAATGTGATGGGAGTATATTCTCAGTGAAGTAATTTACTTTCTGATTTTTTGATTTACCTTTGGAATGATGAGTGTGATTTCACTGGGAGACTGACAAAAACAGATGTTGCCTTAAACTTTTAATGGACAGTGTTGTTTTTTCATCACCACCCTTTTCCAGGTTAGTACACTGAGTGTTCCTTGGCACTCGGCAAACTACTAGGTTTTAAGTACTTGTGAAAATTTCCTGTTTTCTTGAGCAGATGTGTTTTCTGTGGCTTTCCATTCACTTTTGAGCACACCCACCCTGGTTATGCAGTGACAAAGGAGGCAGGCTTCTACACTAAGTTTGAAATTTATCAGGATGAAAATTAAAACAATGTCTGCATACCTACAGCCTTGCACATGATCCACGGTTACAGGTCATCCCTGAAGAATGAGCTGGAACTAGACTGTTGAAGAAGTAATTTACTGTATATTAAGGATATTGACTTCTCTTTTTCTTGGGTTTGGGGTTTCTTTTTTGTAAACAAACCAAAGCAAGCTGTAAGTTGTTTATTGCTTTTTAGGGTATAGTCTATTCATGTGTAAACATCTCTTCCCCATGAGTTCCTTCTGCATTCCAGCTTCCATTGCTAGAGATAGCTGAACAAAAGAACTGTCTCTACCACTTTTTATCATGCTGCTTAAATCACCCACTGAAGCCATTAATATCTTCCTCCAAAATGTGCCTCAGTCATATCATACAAAACCACAGTTATTACCAGTTGGGATGCTTTTTACTGACGTGTGTCACCAGTAATGTCCAGTGTCACTCACAGTCAGGATTCATAACGATTTCAAGAAGTCTGAAACAGCACAGTATTTTGAAAGACAAATACAGGTTTCCCCCTTTTTTTCTGATTCACAGAAGTGTTTTTATCATACAAGCATTCATCCAGCTCATAGGATTATCTTTGAGACATTTCAGTTCTATTTCAGATGACAGCCCCATCCTTTCTGTTAGTCTCAGAAGAATGTAGAGTGTGGAAAAGGACTTCCTTGAGTTCTTTTGAAAACCATCTCAGAGCAAGGTTTAACGTGACGCCATCAGCCAGTCTGACCTACTTTGAAGTTCTTATAGTTGGACTGGAAAGCCCTCTGGACTTAAAACACTTTATTCTGTCTAAGGTCAACCTTTGTTGCTGAAGCTGCTTTAATTTTGCAACTTGTACATTTTCCATTCTGTCTCCTACTTCAGTATTCATATTAATGATGGTGTGCAATTTAAGAATTAAGAATTCAAAATAAAATATCTAAAATTCAGCTGTATTAAAAAGATGGGAGATGGAAATTGTTTTCAAAAGAAAAAAATAAAATGTGCTCTCTGGAAATAAGAACAATTTTCAAGGTTGGACTAGAGAAAAGTATAAAAATATACTTTCAGCATTTCTGAGAACAAGCAAAACGTGACATCTGAGTGGCTCAGCAGAACAGGAATAATATACTTCTAAAGTAAAATGAAAATCTGCATGAACTTAAAGGTAGTCAGAGGTGGAACATTAAAATAGGAAGAGCTCAAAGGAAAGAAGACAGTTAATTTGATTACTGTGGATCTGCAGTGCTCATTCTCCCTCTATTGCCTGCCCTGCAAAAGTCCCTGAGCACACATTTAGTAACAACTCCTTAGCAGCCTTCCCACTTTGATCTCCTCTTCACAGCCTCCCTTTACAGCCTTTTGAGGACATATCCAGAGTGCCAGGTAATTCAAGTACTTTTTAAACGCCTTAAGAAGCCTCTCAACCCATTTTGTAGATTTGGGAAAATGCAGCCTTGCTCTTCCTGCCCCTTGAGATCTGAGAGACTGTGTCAGCAGCTTATCTGGTGCTGGCATTTAAGGTGGTCTCTGCCTTCCCCCCAGTTCCCTTTCCCAGTTCAGTCTCATGTCCATTTTGCACATTCTCTGCTCCATCAGTTCCACCTTCCCCACCAGTTTTGTTCACACACACCCCTCCTCCACCTTCATGTGTCCTTCCCCCTGCTGGTTTCTGAGGCTCTTCCCTCCTGTTCATCGTCTTGTGCTTGAGAGGCTGCACCAGGACATCCTCTCTCTCCTCATATGTTTGGTTCTGACAAAGCCAGAGATGAAGACAAGGAGGTACAAGGATCTGGGAGGAGAGAAACCAGACCTTTGGAAAAAATGGCAAGACACTAAACCAGTTGTTTTCAGTCCCTCTTCCAGTGTAAGGAGGTTGGACCAGTGACTGCCTGAAATCCTGAAATTTCAACCAGAATTACTTCAGGATCACAGTTTTTGTTTCCATCCTTACCAATGTCCCCCCATTCTTCCATTATTTCCTATAGTTTGTATCATAGTTAGAAGACAAGGTAAGCTTTACTCAGAAGACAAGAAAAGCTTGTAAAGCCTTTTGGGTTTTCTTGTTTATGGTGCTCTTAAAGGTCACTTGGAAGATGGAACCTTCCAGGGTAGTAAAACCAAACACTTGGAGAGCTGTGGGATAACTGTGGGTAATATAGAAAATCACAGTTTATTTGTCTAAGGGAAAGAAAAGAGGCAGGTTATAGGTAGCAAGAATAATAATAAAATTAAATTAGGGAAGACAGAAAATTAAGTAGGGGGTCACAAGAAGTAGAGCTGCTCCTGTCAAGTTCTCTGGATTACTGAAGAGGAAAAGTGATAGCTTGAATCACTCGAAGCATTTAAACACTGACCAAAATGGCCTTAGCAACTCTGTGGTGAATTGAGACAAATATGTCTCTTCATCTGTAAGTTGCTCTCTATAAGAAGAAAAAACAACCAAGAAGCAAACTGTGAGAGATTTACCTTATAGGCTGTATTAAAAACTCTGCTTCTAAGAAGCTTTGTTGTTACCACAGACAAACAATAAAAAGCCCCCAAATCAAGGAAATATTTTTCTCTTTTTAATAAGATGGTAAAATAAACAATAGAAACAAATGCTTCAGGCTTATCCAATGAAATACAAAAAAATTCTATATGCCCTCAAATCATTCAGAAGCTAATGTTCCCAACTATTCCTATTAAATCTGAACTGCTCGGTGTAGACTGGAAAATGCAATTTCAGAAAGCTGCAGGAGGGTAAGGCTATATAAATGTAAGGAATGGAGGTAATGAAGTATTAACTGGATGCTAAATTGCTGCTTATCATGTTTGCAATGGGCAGTTTACAATCTGTTTGTCCTGATGGATTTAGCACAAGGGAGCCTGAAGTCCTGGCAATTTCTGTCTCTGCCTAGTAATTGATGGCTAAGCTGTACCCACAAATCATGTGTTAGCACCAAAGGAGTTTGGGATCCTGCTCAGCCCAAACAGCTCCACTGCACTCAGAGGAGCAGTAGTAAATGGAAGGTAAGGAAAAGTTCCAAGAGATAATGGGTTGGAATGCTAATGACCCAAGCTAGAACAAAAGATGGAAATGCAATTTCTCAAAAAGTACAAACCCATTTAATGTCTTAATGAGTTATTAAAAATCTGTAATAATGATTCTGTGATTTGAAGCCAAATTAGTATTTTTCCACATTTTTTTCTTCATGCACTAAGCTATTGGGCAAATTATGATTGTCTTCCTGTTTTACTGCAGAAACTAACATGCTTGCTACAGAAATCTTTTTTTCTGTAATACTTTGGCCGCTCTTCTCAACAGCCAGAAACTGTATCTTTTAGGCATCTCAGTCATCTAGAGCATTAAGCAGGTTGAAAATTGTGCTCATTTCTTGAAAGTAGAGGATAATTCCCAGCTTTATACAGACTTCTTCTTACCCTGTGGAATATATAAAATAAATTTCTACCCTGATAAAAAAATGTAATTATCACAAGGATTGTCTCGCAACCAAAGAAGTATGTATCTTGAATGAACAGAAAATAGATGTGAAATCTATACTCCGCTATCGAAGTTGTTTATGCAGCAAAACATGTTTGTCCATCATTCTTATTTTCTTAATACCAAATAACTATGATGTAAAAAATGGAACTTGTCAACTGAAATGCATAATTGGCCTTCTCCTGAAAAGACAGATAACATAGCTCCCCAAGCTGAAAATGGGGATGCTTTCTTCTGGGCGTGTATGATGTGTCTTCTTTCATTCAGAAGTGCTGGTATTTCATAGGGCGATACCTGAAATGAAAGAAAATAGTATCAGAATAAAAGAGGAGAATAAAAGTCTTCTCTAATTTAT